TCAAAACTACATAATACAGTTGAGTCTTTGAAACTGTTACCAAACATAAGTCACTGGAGAAGCAATTCAATCAATGAGGAAATTTTTTAATTAGCATATTAATTATTTGTGAATAAAAGGTGATTTCAAAGTACTCTAGGGAACTTGAAGACATTGTAGTTTGTCTTCTCATTCTATGAATACTATGGAATATTTCTACATTATTCATTTCTAATAAAAATATAGGGGAAAGGTTTTGCTAATCAAAAGAAAACTTCAGCCCAGCTTCTGCATTAATTATCACATATTCTAAATTGGAAAAGCTTGAATTAATAAGGTCCAAGATCAGCCTAAAAGGCACACATTTAATAAAACCTGGACTTGACTAAGTAATCTTATGCAGATTAAAGTTTATATGCATATTGGCTAACAGGCAAATAAACTGTCAAAGTACACAATTATCAATGCTTTGTGGGCCCTTTCCCACTCTCCATAAACATCTTAATTACCTTCCATACATCACTAAAGTGAGGCTTCTGCAAATATTCAAGCTTATTTTCTGGATTAACCACTTATGCATATCAAATTTCAGAGCACACAAAGGACTATATAAAGGAAATGGAAAGTCTCCTCTAAAAAAAAAAATCCAGACCCCAACAAAAATCAAATGTAGAGATGTGGTATGTAAGTCTGTTAAGACCATTGCTAGAGAGTTATGAGACCATAATTAGGCCATTCATTTTTCATTGTTATAGAGCTGTTTCTATTTCTAACCAATTTGCTCTTAAGACCAAGAGGTCAGGGTGAGAGAAACACATATCTGTTTGGTTTTGCTTCTTTCCCTTCTCACTAGCTAAACTTTCTGGTTCTTTCCTGACTTAATAAGCATGGTTGCAATTTCAGAATTCAGTACCTGCCTGGTGACTTGCAGTTGACTTCCCAACATCTACCAAATGAGCCACCATCACCACGGTCCTTCTCCTCCTGTTTGTCTACTGCCCAGGAATCCACAGCTTCCCACACTTTTCAAAGTTGTCCTGCATCTGGGCCCTGCCCTTCCATTGCTTGAACTCAGGACCATTGAGTTTTTGCATCTCAGGCCATGGTTAGAGTATATAAAAATAATGTCTTTGTTATATTTCATGTTTTGTGAAGTAAAATCTAAACTATGTACAACATTCACTTTAATTGCAGCAAGTTTTCATCTGATAAAACACTGGGATCAGGTCAGCATGTTTGTTACCAGTGCCATGTTTACAAGGCAGAATTACTAAATTGAAGCTAGTTCTGATTTTTGCTCAGCCTGGATAAAGGGAAGATGATTTTTTTTATTTTAACATAATAAAACAGAAAGAGAAAATGACATAGGTTCTATGAATGGGTCACTTTCCAGTGAACTTTCCCTTTTGTCTTTCTTCTCCTTCATACAAGCAGGTGGTAGGAACGGGGTATCTCTGCTTTCTCTGTGACCATACTACACTTCTGTTAAATGCATGCAAAGGTAAACAAATAGCATGTTAATGCATTCTGATTTTAAAGCTCTTCTACTCCTTAATTTTAAAAGAATTTTGACTTGCTGGAGATGATCTCTAAACAACAAAAACATACCTGGGCCTAAAAGTGAAGTAAGTGGTCTTCCATGAGCTTTTAAAATGTGTTACAGATGGATTACATGTAATACAAATGTCAATAACAGAATAACATAATAAGTGTTACCACTTATTAATACCTCTAAGTGTCAGGCATCATTCTAAGTGCTTTGCATGTAATGACTCATTGAATCATTGCAACACCCTATGATGTAGATACTATAATTTTCCCCCTAATTTATGTAAGAGGAAACTGAAGTACAGTGAGATTAAGTAATTTTCTCAAGTTCACAGAGACTAAGTTGCAAGAAACTGTATTTTGTGTGTGTGTTTATTTATTTTTACCTACTTGAAAGGCAGAGAGAGAGAGGGAAAGAGAGAGGGAGAGGGAAAGGGTAAGGGGAGGGAGAGAGAGACTCTTCCAGTAACAGAAAGGAAACAGTCATAACAGCTGTGTCTGAGCCAGGCTGAAGCCAGGAGTGAGAAACTTCAGGCTGGTCTCCCATATGGATGGTAAGGGCCCAAGTACCTGGGCCATCATTCATTGCCTCCAAGGCACACTAGCAGGAAGCTGGATCAGAAACAGAACAGCTGGGACCCAAACAGGCACTCCAGTATGGGTTGTCTCTGCTATCGCAAGCAGCAGCTTGACCAACAGTGCCACAACACCAGCCTCAAGAGCCCAGATTTAAACCCAGGCAGTCAGGTCACAACACTGCTGAACTTAACCACTAATGCAATCCTGCCTATCAAGAAGTATTAAAGAGGAATTGCTAAGTTACACACCCAACAGTTCAGAAGGATTATTTTAACCATACCATTTCACAGAGAAATGTAGTCCTCTAAAAAGCCAGCAATAAATCTGAGCAGATCATAGTAATTCAGTTTTACATTTTGAATTTTTAACAAGGCCTCACCCTGTCAAATTAATACAAAAAGAACTGGGTTGAAGCAAAACTAGATGTTATAGCATAGTTGGAAATAACTGCTTAAATTTGCATCACTTTAAAAGCTCATTACCAACTCAGGGAAAAAAAATGAAATACTTGACATTTTGGTATCTGTGATATTAAAAAGAACTAATATTTAATATTCAAGTGGCAACAGCTTGTAGAGTTTGCACACAACACCCACAGGGATCGATTTTCCTTTAAAATGGCCTTTAGGAGTTTGCCTTTGAAAGAGCTGACACCTCCATTCTCTTGCTTCCCTCTTTCCTGCCAGCGCCATGGGGCACACGCAGAGTGCAGCAGCAGACATGTAATTCTTCACCGCAGGATTTGTCTTTGCAAGTAACGGTGAATGTGGGAAATTAAGAAAAATGTAATTTCCACCAAATCAAGCTCAGTGTAATCTCTACTCCCCAAATTGAAGAGCTGCCTTCCAAGGGCTTTTCTCCATACGCCCTTTCAGACCCTTTAGAATCTGCCCATGAGGAGACAGGAGAATCATGGTCACCTAATTGATCATCGCTCATTCCACACATCATGACAAGTGTACTGTCGCCTGGCGTTTTTCCAGCATGATTAATTGTCACAGTCCTAATTTACTCACCTGTGGAATCCTCAACTTCCCCAGCCAGCTGTCAAGAAGATGCATAATAATGGAATAAAGGTTTTAAAATGTTGAATCTTCTGAAATATTCCACTTATCATCTACCAGAAAGCTTTCACTAAACCATGTATTAGATGGCTGTAATTACTCATTGCTGGGGTGAAAACAAGTAAACAAAACAAAACAAAAACCTGATCACATTTACATTGACCTGATAGAATAATAGGAATTAAGTAAGCCAATCTTTTCTGACACAGAGGGAAAAATACTGATCACATGACCTAAAATGTGTTTATCAGCCTGATTTGGAGTGAACATGCCAGTTCAATTCCAATTAGGTTCTACCACTTCCTGTTTGTTCTGGTGCTTGTTAGTATGCTCTAAGAAAATTACTTTCTAATATCAAATATTCAGGTAAACTCATTGAGTTAGTGTCTTCCAAAAAAATTGGGAAAGTTTAAGAAGGAGATATAGGGGTCAGCACTGTGGTGTAATGGGTAAGGCCACCACCTGCAGTGTCTCCACTGCCCATCCAGCTCTCTGCTATGGCCCAGGAAAGCAGTGGAAAATGGCCCAAGTCCTTGGGTCCCTGCACCCGTGTGGGAGACCCGGAAGAAGATCCTGGCTCCTGGCTTCGGATTGGCCCGGCTCCAGCTGTCACAGTCATTTGGGAACTGAACCAGAGGAGGGAAGACCTCTCTCTCTGCCTCTCCTCTCTGCGTAACTCTGACTTTCAAATAAATAAATAAATCTTTTTTTCAAAAAAAAAAAGGAGATATAGGCATATTTGACTTTAACTGCATATGCTAGTAAGCCAATTTGGGGTATTTTTGCAAAGAAGTCTGGCTTCAGGATTTCTTAAATAGTAGGTTGTGTTCTTGAAAATTAATGTTTGCCACAGAAAATTATTACCAATTGAGTACAACAGCTGAGTTTTCTGAAGATATTGCCACAGACAGCTCGCACTGTGCTACTGAGATATTTCTAATGCATCTGTGGAAATCACATGCAAACTATTTAACCACTGTTAAATTATATGCTTAACTGCTTATAAAGTAAAATTTTCCAATAAAAGTCCAGAATTTCCTAAAGGAATCTGAATACAATTGCTCCTTCAATTCTTATATTCTGTGAAATACAAATTCTATAGGTTGTTCATCGATCCATCCTGTAGTATTATACAGGAAAAAAATGTTTCTGGTCAAGCTTAGGAAATGCTGGATTAAATACAGGCTTATTATCATCACTGCAAAAATCTCACTTTCAGAAACTACAGTATGTGAATATGCATTCTGAAGAGAAACATAAGGTTTTTTCCAACCTTATTTGACCCAGACTCGTTCTACCACAGCACATCTCTGAAGCCAAGAGTCTGCAGACCAGCCTCTGCCTTGACTCATGCCTGGCACATCACAGGTGCTCAATACACTCTGGTGAAATTTCAACATCATCCCCTTCCAATTGAATTTAAATTGCCTGTGATAGTCTTTGCCTTAGATTTGTTCATGAGGATAAATATGCAAATAGAATCAGAAACACAACCTCGTTTCTTCTAACCAGATCTTAGCCCACATATCCCAAAGTAAAAGAGTAGTGAAATAATCCGTTCTGGCATGTTGACCGGTAGCAATGCTATTACTTAAAACAGGATTTTTTAAGTGATAGAAAAGGAGAAAGGAAACAGCAGCTTCCTACGCGGCATGTGTCTTCCACTTAGCAGATCTGAAAGACCATTTTCCTCATTTCAAAATTGATAGCCAACTCTTTTTTGTTGTTGTTTTGCTATTCGGATTTCTGTCCTCTTTTTCCAGCCTATTTGCTCTAACACTGAATTTTAAGTATCTCTAAAAATGCTTGATATGTTATTATTCTTTCCAGATATCCTCTGAGAGCCAAGTGGAGAACATTAAGGAAGAAAAGAGAAATGAGGCTGGATACAGTGCAGTGAAAACAGGTGCTTCAAGGACAGGGGACTCCATACCCAGATACTCGACTGTGCCATCAGCATGAGAACTTACCAGTACTTCTTGCTGCTCTTTTGGGTTGGTCAGCCCTACCCAACTTTCTCAGCTCCGTTATCTAAGAGGACTAGTGGTTTCCCGGCCAAGAAAAGGGCCCTGGAGCTCTCTGGAAACAGCAAAAATGAGCTGAACCGTTCGAAAAGGAGCTGGATGTGGAATCAGTTCTTTCTGCTGGAGGAATACACAGGATCCGATTATCAGTACGTGGGCAAGGTAGGATTCCTTTGGGCACTTTGACAGTCTGGGTTTAAAAGCCTGAAGAAGTTACTTCTTATACATAGAAGGGAGAGGATGTGAACTAGTCCCTCAGTAGAGTAAGAATTTTTGCTTATCTGGGAAGACTTTTTCTTTTCTTTCCACTTGAGTAGTTTTGGGAAGAAGACTATAGCAAAAAGCCGAAAAATGTTAGCATCACAACAAAGAAAGAGAAAATGCTCCTGTTGCAAATGAAACACCCACAACCATCTGCATAGGATTATCACAAATCCTTTAATTTTTACTTTAGCTTGAAAAATGTAGCCCAACTATTCAACAAAGTAGGGTGTATTAAAATAGGAATGGAGCGATTAAGCTATAAGGAAAGAAGGCAGGCTCCTTTTTCTCATTCTGAAGGCAGGCTTTCTGTTCTTGACTCCTTACGCCAGGTTCAAGTTCATGGTTTCCTCATTCTGCTACCTAAGGTGTCTGTTTTCTGAGCAAATGGAGTCCTTTGTTGTCAAAGCCCACCATGGCCTTAGATTTGGGGGCTCCTGCTGCTGCTGTTGCTTAGCCTCCCCTCAAATAACTGGCAAGAGCCAAGCATCTCAAAATTGTGATTTAACTGCCGTGAGGTTTACAAAGGGGAAAAATGGTTATATAAAGGTGCTATTTCTGAGTATCATCTGACCATTTTACTGACTCTAGAAAGTAGAGTGAGGAGGCACGGCTTATTATAGCTTGTACAGATTACCGGAGCTGAGTCAGGCTAACAGCCTGGTTAGACTATCATCGTGAGGTTTACAGAAATTTGACCATCAGCTACGTTCTTGCTGCAGAATACCTGCAACAGCAACGATGTGAAAGAAAGAACAGGGTTACAAGTTTGTACCTAGTAAGTTTTCTGTTTCCTAACAGAATATGGACAAGAAAAGTAATTGTCACACAGCTCTTACATACACAAACTAGGGATAAATGTAAAAATACAGACAATAAAATGTTTTCATTTAGGGTTACAGCTATAATTTTAAAACATCTCTCTTCGGATAATATGCAAATAACATGCAGTCTGCAGATTGCAAGAGCCGCATGTTACACATCAATCTGTCATCAAATGCCCCTGAATGACTGTGCACAAGTAATTCTCTTCAAGTATTTAAAGCTATAAATGAAGAAAACCCATCCATGACTTGGGCTGAGGGACCCAGTGAATGTTCCAATGAAGTGAATTATTAATGTGGAACAATGTAGGAGAGGAAGTACTCAGTGAAAGGGTGAGCATCAACCCAGATCCCCAGGGATCTAGCCATGTATTTGCGGGGAAATTCACACTCCGTGTGACAACTGAAGACAGACTGTTCACTTAACTTGTACTTCACTTCCTCTGTGAAGTCTGAATAGCACTGTTAATAAGGTGATGGTTCTAAAAAAATCTTAAATTCTTTCAGGCACATTTCATAACAAAGTAGCATCTTTGTCATAGAAGTTTAAGTTTTCAAAAGTGTTTTCTCTCCAGGGCTGATTCCCTTCCCTGTTTTTCTTCTGAAGTTGTGATGCTATGTTACTCAATTATACCGCATATGCTCAAAGGCAGGCCAGGATATTTGGGGTCACAGCAGCAGCAGTGGAGCCAGCTGCATAGGAATCGATTATTACAGTGCTCACTGTGAGTTGTGGCATTGCCAGGGGGACAAGGTGCCGTCTGCAGATTCAGATCTGAGAACTGTAGTGCTGGGCTGCTGTCTGCCAACCATGGGACCCGGGCAGGTTGTGGGCCTTGGCAGGCTTCTGCTTCTTCATCTAGAAAATGCATGCAGCAGCACCTACTTGGTGGCGTTACAGTGTTTTTAATCGACAGGCCCTGGTGGCTGGCACACAGTAGGTGCATAAAGTCATTAAATGGTGAGAAATCTGTGGCGTGTGCTCTATTAAATCAATGTGTAATGCACTGAAGAGCAATATTGAATTTCCATCACTGCAGAAGTGAAATGGGGTACTTACGGAATCTCTCAGTGAGCGAGAAATGTAGAGAACTGTGGCGAAATCCCTTCACCACCACAGCTTCAATGACATAGGCTGGATTTGAATATTCCATTGGCAGCCAGACGCACTCCCCTACCCCACCGTCTCAAGTTCCCCTCCTTGCTGCCCCTTCCTCTCCTCCCTGAAGTTGTAACACATGAGAGAAGTTTAGCTGAAGAAACCACCAAGGGCAGTCACTCAAACAGTCCCAGTTGCCTGCATTGCTCTATCAGATATGTGCAAGAGGTGGTCGTGAACAACGGCTATGGAATTTGCCAGATTTGTCTTTGGAACTGTGTGATATCAACAGACAGAAGGATTAGTCTATAATATTTTCCAACTAAAAATAGGAAGGAATGATAAATTCAAAATAAGAGGAGAAGAAAAGGATTTTCCCCTCATTTGTACCAGCAAATTTGGTCCAACTCTAACTGACCTGGAATAAAACAGACATCTGGAGTTTCTGTGCAGGCCCACCAGGTCAGGAAACTTTGGGAGAGGAAAAAAAAAAAAAAAAAAAAAAAAAAAACAGGAAAAAGGTTAAGACTAGAGCAGAGGGTCCAAATCTTTCTTTCTTCCGAGATTTTTTTTCACAGTTTCCGTAGGCTACAAAAAATACCTAATAATTCTGTGTATGAAGCAGTCCGACTCAAACAACTTAATTTGTTCTAACAACTTATAATCATTCGACAAAATAATACAAACTAGTATTTTGATCTTGTTCTCAACTACAGTTGCTTACAAATGGAATGTGTGCATCTATTGGGCAGCGCACAATTTGTTAATCAGTTACACCCTGGCCATCTGATTTCCTTGTCCACACTGATTTGGGTGCTGTGATTGTTTTTTCATCAGAGCACCTACCGAAAATCCAGCTTTTCAAACACATGACATCATCAACAGGAATGCAGCGCCACCTACTGTTGAAGCTCTGAACTTTGGTTAACCAATGCAATAATCCTTACCTAGAGCTTGGGGTGGGTGCCTGAGACTGAAAAGATTGACCCTATCCATGAAAGGATAGAGGCGTTAGCTGAGGAAAAATAATGCCGCTGAGCAAATGGCACTTAAAGTGGAGGAAAGAAATGTGTTCACATCTATTTGTATTTGTAATGATTTGTTCAAATTATTTTGGGGTAAGGCATGGGGCAGTATTGACCATGGAGGAGCCAGGAAGGGGGAGGGTCTCAGGAGGTCACAACAGTAAAATAGGGAGGGGCCAGCCGTGGAGTGAACACAAGATGGGACCTTACAAAGCAAGCCCTGGCAAAGGCAGGTAGTGAGACCTTCCTCCTCCTCCTGTCTTATCACTCCCCAGCCTTCCTCCTTGTACTGTCAATAGGGCAGTCTGGCGCAGAGGCATGCACAAGGCAGAACGGGAAGGGAAGCGTGTATTGAGACTGAAGGTGGTGACAGTATACTATAGCTGAAATATTGACAAACCAAATTCTAACGCTGGAGGAAATCTCCGCACTTCTCACCTAAAATGCTGGGGGCAAGCAGGGTTAGGGAAGAAGAATCAACGGGTAGGCAGAAGGGATCCTGGGTGGGGAGTTTGTTGGCTTAAGGTGCAGATGTGGATGCAGGTAAGATTGTTTTTTTCTAAAATGCAGGACCATTTGGAAGCCACTTAGAGCTGCTTTAGCATAGCAGCACCTGTGTTGTCTGGGCGCTTGTTAGAGATGCAGAATTTTGCCCCTTTGCCCCCAAGATCGTATTGAATCAGAGTCTACAGTCTAACAAGATCCCCAGGTGAACCGTGGGCACATTAAAATTTGGAAGTTCTGCCTTTGAAAACGCGTTGCCTGGGTCTCTCCTCCCCAGAGATTCTGATTTGGCTGGGTTTCAGTTAAGTATTTATGATTCTGATATTTATGATTCTTGAAAACTGCTCTTCTAGGAGGATATTATTGCCAAACATGGTAACAAAATGTGGCAAGTTCAATGATAAAATGGGCATCCACAAAATAGTATCAAAACACAAAGGAGAGGGGCCAGCCAGGTTCTAGGGTTCCACAGAGCTTCCTGAAGGAGGTGATGCTACTTGAATCCTGTCTTAAAGGATAAATTGGGGTCACCTCTCCCTAAGAAGGGACAATGGCCAGGACTGCCCAATTAGTGGGATGCAGAAGCCAACAGAGAGGAAGTCAGAGGTTCAACAGCCCAGAGATGTAAGGAAGAGCAATCGCAAGAGTGGAAGTGTCACGACCAATTCAGAAAACACAAATGGGTAGGTGTTTTCTTGTCACAGGCTTAGGGGAAGAGTCTTTGGTTCTGTAAAAAACCCACTTAGGTTATCTTTGGTTTAATTTATCTTAATGGAAAAATGCAAGAGCAGCAATGTAATAGAAATCCTTGTACCGCCTCCGCCAGCTTTACACAATATAGCAATTCCTGGGCAATGGTTGATGTAGCGTCTCAGATTATGTTTCCTATGAAAAGAACATAAGTAGATGTAGGCACAGATGAGAGTCTGAAGATGTGAGCATTCAGTAATAGCAAGATGAAATATATTTAAAACATCACAATTATACCTAACTTTCGGCAAAAGATTCATACATTATCGTTAAACATCCCACAGCAATGTCTAATTCCCTGGTCGCCTCCACTTCATTCTTTATCTTGTCTTTCTGCACACTGTATATATAAGAGTGATTGCCATTAGAAGCATTTGATCTTTTTTTTAGGAATTTGATAAACTGTACATTTATAGCTTCATAGATTTTTTAATCTTATGAAAATTTAAATTTTATTTAAGGCTCTTATGTATAGGTATTTCTAATACGCCTTTCTGTTAAGTCTTTAAAGAACACCTACCCAATTCAATGAAGCCACTTTTCTCAAGATAATTAGACAGTAATGCTTTAATGGCCCATAAAAATAAAAGTTGTCAGCTATACACCCCTTTATAATTAGAGATAAACAATTATTTCTTCCCATAATTACACCATTCAAATTCAGCAAACAGGAAGCAATATTTTACCCATTCTGAAAGA